TATATATAATATATATAAAAATATATATAAACAAATCTCATGCAAACGATATTAATATTCAGATATAATCATTAGTAATTCAAAACATAACGCAGAAAGAAATTATTAAATTATTAAATTTGCTGAAAACATTTTTGAGTGAAAACATTTTTTAATTTTTAAAAACATTTTAAAATTATCTCTTATACGTAATATTATATACGATACATTAGACTTATATTTTCATTTGTTAAAGAGAGAGAAGAAAGAGAGCATTGTGTGATACATACAAGGGCGTATTGATTGTATTGTATTGGCGTTACGTAGATATTCATGCTGATGTAAAATATAGAGATGACGCTTACCGCAGCAGTAACTAATTTATTAACAGCGCGGCAAACCTCATGCTGGTGTTAATATTCAGGTAGATTCATTAGTTGTTTAAAACACAATGCAAAAGGAACATCATTAAATTTCTATCGCTATTAATTACTAAATTCGTAAATTATCAATTTGGTATAATAATAGAAAATAATGGAATTGACGTAGTTTAACGCATTCCTATAATAAACAACAAATATAATAAACAAACTTAATAATAAGTAATGGTCTTCCGCGTAATATCCTATAACTTTCACATTTCATAAATGTCGATCAAGATTCTCCATTTCCGTTTATTGTCGAACGATCTCGCATTAGGTATTGTTTACGGCAAAACTATGTAGCAGCATTAATGATACTCGCATTGTTATGTCAATCATTGTTGCAGTTAGAAATAAAACAACGGCAAAGCTCTCACGATAATGCGCAGAATTGAAACGGTGAAGGTAAATCGACGCGTAGGTTGTACGTAGAATCGCGAGAAGAATTCTGATGCAAAAATCCAAGCGTAATAGAACGAATGACATTGAGAGGGAAAGTGGGTCGTAATATCGGTTGTAGATGACACACGACCTGTTTCTAAATAGATTTGCGTATTCTCGCATACGGGTGAAGAATGCAGGATCACTGCCGGGTTAATTATATAAAAACTGCAACAGTCAGAAAAAGTTCCGTATACGCATTTTAATTGAAAAGAGAATTGTGTAAGTTGAAATGCTTTTAAGTCATTTCCATTTGTAATAAAACGCTTCCCGCAATATTTTGCTTTATAATTAATTGACACTTTATACTGCATTTTATTTGCAAGTTTAATTAATTTATCAGATTTATTATGAATTTTGCATATATCAAAATATTTTATCGTTATTATATTCGACATCTAAACTCACGGGTAAAATATTACATTGAGGAATATATTCCGAATATATTCGAATATATTCTCGTTTCAGGCCGAGTATTTATTCAAAAAGAATCCTGAGGGAAGGATGTTCGATCCGGATTACACGGAAACAATGAGCATGCTCTTGGATGCTATCAGCCGACAACAAAATGTCCTTCCAAGGGAAGGATTGGACGTAACACAATTCCTCAAAAAGCAGGATGAATTATTCATCATGGACAAAATAAGAAAAAGACGAATGCAAGACGCGGACAGAAAAGTAAATGCGATTAGAGAAGAAGATGCGACGTCGATACTCGAACAGAAATCATCAAATTTTTCATACTCAAAAGATGATTCTGAAAAGGAGGAATTGGTTTCTACTGAACAAACTATCGACGAAATCGGAAGCGAAACTTGCGTAGATAGCTTAAAGTAGATAGTAAATTCTTACTAATCTGGATACTTAACATAACGAATTAAAGACAAAAATCCAATTGCATTTCAATATATTCATCATATCCCACCAATTATTAACTCTCCGGAGATGATGTTAAAATCTGTAATCTAGTTACTGGGGAAGACCTATTTAATTAAAATGATAATTAAAAGATACTAATTAAGTTTGAGAAATCAAAATGACATAAAAATTAAGTAAGTGCTAAGTAATTCTAATGAGAACAATCTAAATTTGCAGATGTAACATTATAAAATTTTAATTATTTAATATTTTTGACGAAGATATTTATAATTAAGTGAGTTCCAAGGGTTAATTTTTATTCCTTATTAATAATACATTTGGTCTTTTAATGTATCTTATTTTAGATTACGAATTCCTACATACCTAAATAAAAGATGTTCAATATAAATATTCTTTGATATTCAATATCAACTCATCATGCATAATAACTATGTTAACTTAACTGTGACGATTTTTTTTATGAACATTATTTTTTTAACCCAATAATGCCGATATTCATCCATACGTGACTTTGTCTTTAGACACGTGCAATGTGAACTAAATATAACATGACGTACTTAAATAATCTCTTCTCTCTTACTACGTATTTTTTTTTAAATTAGATCACATATTCAGTATTAAAAAAAATATTGTAATTTTTCATAACTTTCTCATCATTACGTTAAATATATGTAAATTTTATGTAATATTCTATGTAAATATTCTATATCCCTACATTTGATTTTGGATTCAAGCGCTTATAGTATTCTGTTGTGCAACACGCAGAAGTTTCAAGCTGACCGTTCGATGCGAGGGATTTATCTCTTAGATACGAAATCGCATTTTACACACGCATCAATTGCATTAAAAGGAAATAAAGAGTAAATCGGATTAACTTTCATTGAGAAATAGATATATGTAAGAAGAGCTTATGTATATAACAAAGAAAAATCTTTGCTATAAATGTTTAGAATCCGTGCACGTTCAATTTCTTGGAAAGGATTTCAACGAGTTTACAGTCCTTGATTAGATAGATTGTGTCTATGGAAAGCTTACACAACTGTAATCACTTCAAAAGTTGTTACAAATACAGAATGCTAAATCGGTCGTTTTATAAAGCCAACCAACGGAAAAAATTATCATCATTTTTTAAATGTAATTTTTGATTATCACATTTTTTACAATCTGAGATATATTAAAATGACATAATAACGACAATAAGGAAATATTGCGTTAACTGGCAATAGACGATCCTCCTGTATAATACTTTGCAATTATTTTCTCGACTCTCGGAACGTGTCTAATTTTCGGTCTGTTAAATTTGGAGTCGGGCTGGTAAACATTGACTTACCTAACTCTACCCATAGTTTAATGTATGCCTTTCTAGATCATAATATGGCTATTTATCGAACAGATGAAAGATTAAAAGACAGCAGATTTGATTTACAGCGTTAATGAAAATAGTTCGTGATAATGTATGTTTTTTTATAACAAAAGCAAGATAGTAATTTAGTATTAAAAACAAATTCATAAAAATTGTTTGTTTTGTTTACAAAAATTTATTTCGTTTTTGTAAAGTTATGTAAAGTTATGTTAATTAATTGACGTTACAAATTAAATTATACGCTCTGTGCAACTTTATTATGCAGATAATATATTAATATCGTTATTGTGATAACGGATAGTACATCAAGTACTATGCGAAACTATACATTTTTCAGTATCTTATCAATTTTCTTTATGGCTTTTTACGGAAGCGCATATCTAAATGTAGTTTCTTCTGGAAACTACATCACGAAAGATCGTAAGTCTCTATTGAACCACTTAGCAGTTATGAGGCCAAGGATAAAAATTCCACAATTATTTTGTGTATTTTATCGCCGTATGATGTATTCTCAAAGTGTGTTATTTTTGTAAAATAAACAATATATGAATTAAAAGTCCATGTAGTAAAATACAATTTACCTGTTTAATATAATACCTGTGTTTAATATAGAATATTTTTTTATACAAAGATACATTAACACAACACTGCCTTGCCTTTTATTTTAACTTTATTATGATATGAAAAAAATATGAAAATATGAAAATCTTTGTGTCGGAGTCGAGCGATTTTATGAATAATTCGGCCGTAAAAATAAACGGAGAATCGTGAGATAAATGTAAATTATTTTCGGATCACATATGAAAGTAAACTTGAAAATTAAGAAAATGTAATGTGGTCAATTAGCTTGCAAATGTTCTACGTAACTTTAATTGCCGCGGCCTAATCGATTCGAAACTCTTGCGCCTACCGACCAGAAATTGGGTCAGTTTACTGTAACCCGGTTTTAATCAATACAATGTAATATCCGTATTGAAAATAGATCTGGATCAGATATTTCCCTACGCGAATGATCGACAGACAATATATTTATCCCACCTGTTAATTTCCGCCAATACTGTCACAAAGCGGGGGAATGTAGAAGCAAAGTCGCTTTGTTCTTTGTAAAACTTTATCGCACTTATCGATTCTTACAAGTATAAATAGTGTTAAAGCCTTGCTTTTTCGTACTGAAAGCATGCATGCGCAACCACACTCAAGTCACGACATTAGCACATTAGTCGCGCCAATATTAACGTATAAGATAGAACATCATTCACATATCGTTTTAATTTTGAGACAAAGTTCTAGTTCAGTATATACGCGTATGATTTAGTTGGTATGCATTTTAATCTATCAGAAAACGATGCAGTAGTTAACCTTTAATGTACGATCCAATATCAAATTTTAATCTCTCTATCAATTTAATGTTTAAATAATATTTTTGTCTATATCTTAGTTTAAATTAGCTTAAGACATGAACTAATTCGATACCTGTTAATTAGTCAATCAATCGATGGAATGACCGAACAATTTGTCATCAAACAATATTGTTAGCATTCCCTAGAGTCCCATAAATTGTGACTTTAAGTCGGTGCTCGATAATCTAACGTTACAACGACTAAGATCGGATTTCCTCAACGGTATTGGTGCACGAGAACACCGCAGGCGGTATATCTGTATCTCCAAACACCTGTTAGCAGTCGGTCTCGGGTGGGTGGCTCGCCACATCGCCTTTAAAGCTACGGTGTTGTGAGTAATACGAATTCCTGTGCTGAAGCCGGTCTGAAACCGAACGAAGGAGCGAGCGAACAAGGTGACCTTGATCGCGACACCCTATTACATGGGGTGCGCTCGCCTTGCGCTCCGTCGGATTCAGGCCGACTACGACCTCGCGTAATCCAGTAAAACTAGGAAAAAGAAATCCGCTCCCTTACCGGCGTAACCCTGCTGCGAGTAATTCGCTTCCTCGCTCGGCATCACGGTCTCCTCGAGGATGCTCTCCGACGCCGTCTTCACAACTCCCATCTTCGGTACACGATCGGACTGACTGTGTAGGTGAATGGTCACAGGGATATTTTAAAGCTCCGTTCCACAATGAGAGAGAGAGAGAAAGAGAGAGAAAGAGAGATAGATTATCTCGTCTCGATTGTGCCGCGTTGTCTGGCGTTGCCGGAATGCTCGGCGCCGTTTCGTTCGCTTATTGCGTCTGCGTTTGCGCCTGCGTCCATCCCCCTTCACCGAACCCCGCACTTCATCCTTCTTGACCCTCGTGCATCCCCCGTTGCCACGGTCGCTTCTCTCACCCTCGTCAAGTCGTCACACAGGAGCAAGGCTATCTCTCTAGGCCAGGGTGAGCGCAGTAAGCAGGAAAGAAGATTGTAGTGGTAGTGATGATAACGTGGTGGTGGTGATGGCGATGATTCTCTTTATGCCGCGTGATAGGACGGCAGGGGTTGCTGTTATCTCTACCGCTGTTGCTGCTCTTGCTCATGATGGTTGATACTACCGAGGGTGCTCCTGCCTGCCATAGGGAGGGGTGCTACGAGCACATAACACAGCACATAGCACAGGGCAATGTCGACCTTCCTCGGTCTCGGTGAAGGTCTCCGTTGGTGACTCGTGCCGGATAATACTTCCCTCTTGCATTCCGTCATCACGCGCTCTTCCTTTCTCTCTTTTACTCCTATTTCTTCTCCAATTTCCTCTCCTTCCTTTCACCATCTATGTTTTACTTTAGCTCGTTAACTTATACGTTTTGTCATGTCCTGTCATTGTCACTGACTTGCAATTATTCTTGTTAAAGCATGATAATTTAATGAATTTAATTTATGCATAATTAACAATTCAGAGAAATCAAGAGAAAGGAAAAAGAGAAAGAAAGAGAGAAATATTATATAAAAATATATATAATTATTAAGAATAAATCTATTTATTTAAATTATAAACAAGATAATAATGGAATAGTAGTATATTATAAAATTTTTCACACACTTTTCTATTCTAAAAATATTCTCTTTATTCTGTTTTTTACTTCATTTGCAATAAATACATCTGCGTTTTGATATTTTTTGAATAAACAGAAAATATGTCGTTCTATTTTCCATGATCCCAAGCTCTTTTTTTTCATAAACTCGTAAAATTGAGTAGCGTCGTTACGCACATAAAGCTCGAACGTACCATACGCATATATATTCGCCGAAAATCTACGTCGAAACATTTGCAACACGTGTTTGCCCTTGAAATCTCCCACGACTGGTACGGTGTGCCTCGTTGCACGCAAAAGGCGATCGTTAAATCACATCCTTCGTAATGCTCTCGCGCTAGTGATCTCTGAATCCCGGCTCTGCTATTATCTACGCTACACTGTCTTAAGTAATCCAGCATCTACCCCAATGTTCTTCTCCGTCCGATTTCGGACTTTCGTTTGCAAGTGTGCAACACTTGCGTCATCGGGCTCTCTTCCACTTTATTGAGTGCACCGCTTGTGATTGCAGCTAAAGTCTTTTCACTTCTTTTCCAAACCCTTCTATACATACAAATGGAATCGCATTCATAGATATTTCACGTTGTATGCGCTTACACGGCGACATGTTTACAGCACTTTAGAATTTCTCGAAGAGTTATGCTCGAATTGATGATTTTTTTCGATGAAAAAGATTGGAATCTTAACGTGTTGCGTTTGAGTATGCATTAAACTTGTAAATATTCATATTTATGTTATATTATGCAACGTGTGTATATAAGTCAAATATAATAATCAAATATATATTAAATAATGTAATATTCATTAATATTTATTAAACATGTGGCGTACGTGCTAATAAAAAAAAAGAAAATATTGTACAAATTCTAATTAATTTAATACAAATATGCATTCATATGAAAATATTTATTCTTGTAAGAATATATTTAAATAGCGGATTTTCAATATTTTGAATCATATTAAAATCCGCCTAACATGTAAATTACATTATTGTTATTGTCGATAATACAATACAATAAATGTTTATTCTGCAAATATTAAATTGTGTGTGTGTGTGTGTGTGTGTGTGTGTTTTGTGCAATAGGAAATTATTAACAATTTAAAAAAAAGTGGTAAATATTTAATATCTTTGATCAATAAAATCTAATGAAATTAATAACTGCGATTACACGCAAGTTATTATCAGCACGTTAAAATTTTATTGACTTTGTATTTTTTTTATAACAGAAAAAAAAAGAGAACTACCCCATGATTTTAAATCGACACTTCTGCGTTCACGCTGGTATGCAGTATTTAACTCTCTCAAATTTCGTTCTTAATAGAACGTAATATAAATATATTAATGTTTCAACTACAAAATTATAAGAGACCTTGCGTAAAAAAATCGCACATGCTGGATATATTCAACATGAGACTTATTGCACTTAACTATATTGCAAACTATCATTTTCACTTGACTGCTTTTTTTGTCTGATATCCCACTTCTGTTAATGCGAATTCTAGATCAAGATTATTCTCGATTATCCCATGCTGAATGAGCATGTCGATTTCAAGGACTTAGCAAATTACATCACATACTTATCGGACAATCTTTTATTCTATTCATCTCGAAAAGAACTGAACTTATGTTCTTTCGACGGTGTAGACATGATTATTTATTTCGTAATATAAATCCTTGTAACCTTATAACATAAATCATATTTTGTAACATGACACGCAATTTATACGGTAAAATTAAAGTATTATATTAACAAAATAAAATTATTATAGATTTATTATAACATCGCGTTTGATGTATTCATCATGATGTATTTTATTACAATAATAATACATGGATTTTATTATAATGATCAATATGGAAATAAATTTGAAGATCAAATATTGTACAACATAAAAATTATAATAAATGTGTAATTGTAATAAAAGTGTTTAAGCGTATTTTAAAAAATCAAGTATTAAAAGAATTGAATATTATATAATATAAATATTAACTTTTTGTATTGCTGCGTATAAAGATTTATTGATTGCTGTTTTAATTCTGCATCTATATTGAAATGATTGATTATATCTCTCAGCGTCTTTTTTTCGATTATATCTCGAAGCGTGAAAAAAAAAACTTAATGTCGGTGAGATAATTTGAAAGTATAAATTTTGGAACTTTTATGTACCTTTATTTTTATATTCATCCTACAACGTGCACTCATGCTCATTAGTTTCTGAATATGTAAAAGTACGCAAGAAAATAGCGATCGATTTAAATTGCTTGTGTATATCTACTTCCATTATAGTCTCTTCAGAACATGTACATTATACGGAATAGCTCTTCAGAACATGTACATTATACGGAATTTCAGAAAAGGGATGCAAATCTGTTTTTAATTTCTTACATCTAAATCAAACACATCAAGCGAATAAATTCACTCTTATAGCAATGTGATTAGAAATAATGTAATTATCGTTTGGGAAAATTTTCCGAACTCAATCAGCGAAAGAAACTGGCGATAAATATTATTTTAAATTATTTTAAAAATTAATAAAAAATGTATGTTAAAATTTAAAACTCATTTTTATATAATTATCTTAAACGAATTATTTTTCTTCCGATTAACTTGAGATAAGATCTGAGTCAATCATTTTCTTGTAGTAGATATCTTCTGGAGTAGCAGTATCGATTTAATCTGTTGTACGTATAAATAAAGATAAGCAATCCGATGTCATGTAGCTGCTTTTAACGCGGTTCATGTTAAATTACGAGACCGCGTGTTATCGGGAAACTGAAATTGCATATAATAAACGTGTATCTTTGAAGAAAGTAGAATAAGTATAGATCAATCGGTTTGTTGTGACAAGTTCGACTACTGAATGCAAGGTGACTAATCCTGCGATATTATCAACCTTATCATCGACTTTATCCTGTGAACAAACGAAAATAAAAGCCAGAAATTATAACATAGTTTTATTTCCATCAGGAGAACAGATATACAGGCTAATATATAATTGCATTTTAATAGCATAAAAATGAAAAATAATTATATAGTTGAAGGATTCGATTTCTAGAGACATTAATAAGTAAAAATACATATAGATGTAAATGACATTGTACGTAAACCGTATACATTTGCTTTTACTTAATGTTGCTTCGTAATTATTATACCATATTAATGCTAATTAATATTTGTGAATAAATACAAGCAACGATTATTTCACATTAATTCGCCTTGCTCTACTTATCTATAGCATCTTGACTTACTTTATCATGTAAATGAATAGATAATTAAATGCGATAGAGCATAAAGCGCTCGTTTCGATTGATTCCAATTCAAAACGTGAGAATACTTTTCTTTATACGCTTGACAAAACAAAATATAGCATTATAAAAGTAGATTATCGTCGTGCAAGCGTACTTTCTGATATCTCTCTATCGTACATTTTTCTTTCTCTTTATACGTTTTTACATAAATACAACAATACTGTTTCAGAAGTACGGTATTATTTTATCTCACTTACAATTAGTATCTGATCTGAAAGTATAAATAATCCATTCATTCGTCATACTATTTTAGAAAGTATCATTATCTTACATATATTTTCCTTCTTTCTCTCCTCCAATTAAATGAAAATTGTTTGAAAATAACAATGATGACGTTTTTGAGAGTACTTATATTGAAGTCTTACAACTTGATTACTTATGTTATTAGTTCTACTATTGTTATTAATTTAACCAAGTGATCAAGCTTTAATTCAGTCTACTCTCGAAAATGTCGTCATTGTTCTTTCCAAAAAATTTTCTTAGAAATATATGAGAACGTTTGCTTCTACTTGTTGCTTCGTAATTAATGCAGTTAAATATTAATGAATAAATGTAAGTGAATTAAGGCAATTATATCATGTTATATTGAGACATGATTTTTTTCTAAAAGAATATGAAACAAGTGAATAGATTATTTATATTTTATATGAAGATGAGATGTTAAGTGAGATAAAATAATACTGTAATATCTTTTTTATTACTAAAAGACGTTTCTTGTTGTGCTATATATAATTGAAACGTGTCAAATGTGGAGGTAACAGCAGCATAACATGCTGCTGTGTTTTGTATCTTTTTAATTAGTTCATGGACAAAGTGAAAGTACGTTCGTTATTCTAGATCAATCGGTTTGTTGTGACAAGTTCGACTACTGAATGCAGGATGACTAATCCTGCGATATTATCAACCTTATTATCGACTTTATCTTGTGAACAAACGAAAATAAAAGTCAGAAATTATAACATAGTTTTATTTCCATCAGGAGAACAGATATATGGAAGAACTTTTAGGACATTCGAAAACGATTTTTTCGGATTGTGAAAGAGGTTCTAATGATGTACACAAAATTACAAAACTTTACACAAAGTTTTATTAACCGATATCTTACAACATGTGACAGCGTGGCTACGCAATTAGTTAGTGTCTGTATGCGTTTCGTGTATATCCTTTGCTTAAAGCATAGCATAAAATATACTCTCGTAGCACCTTAAATAGAGATATAAGTTAGTAGATGGTCGTTAAGAATAAGAAAAATGATTTGAGCAGGTGTACGTGGATTCCCTCAGTGGAATTCCTTCAGCAATGCGGGCAACGTATCATACCGAAAACGTCACATTTGGCGCACTTTAGAGCGACGAATTCCACGGTGAACTCGTTACGATGAACGGATCTCTTGCTGCCGTGACAGATGGGACATAGCAGTCGCTGGAATCCACCGCAATAGGTACAAACAGCGCATGCATCTTTACACTGAAACACAAACGTTTCATAATGTTAAATTAAGCACATTACAAAACTAATGATAATTTTTCGTTGCGACAGTTGGCAGATCTTAGTATAACGATTTGTACTGAAGCAGCACATGATTATTTGCGAAAACATTTTTCATTACATTGAGAAAAAAAAACTGCAATTATCATAATTTAATTATTTATAATCATAATCAATAATTTATAATCATTTTTGGTGACAACCATATATTATTTTTGTATAGAATTATAAATGTAATTATTATTACTAAAATTATAGCAGTAATAACTTAAAAATAAAGTTTCTGTTATAATAATTTTATCATGTTATTACAGTTACAAATACCATCTTTCTCTCAATGTAGCGCATTAAGAGACTCCAGATGACGCGGTTAATGTATGCAAACTTTACATTTGCTTAATATTGACCTACATTTATATAGATAATTATGTATGTGTAATATTTGATAATTTTTTTAATGTTGGCATATATTAACCATGTCATCTGAAATTAAAAAAAAATTCAAGAGAAAAATGAGAACTTGTGAAGAAGGAAAAAAGAAATATTAAACACTCTAGTAAAAATATTGACTCGTATATATAAAAAATATCTCAATAAATTGTAATCATATATTTGATTCAATTGGAATCTAAACTGCAGTATCCTCCTTCACTGCATGATTGCATTGTTTTTTGCCAATCTATAAATCCGATCACATAAATTAGAAGTAGCTTAAGCTTGTGATAAAATAATTAAAAATATCTTTAATTTGAAATTTATTCTTATTAAGGAAAGAGAATCTTATTCTTGGAAAAATGAAACTCAAATTATAGTTGTCACCACAAAGTACACAGTTTCAAAATCTTAAACTACGGTATATAATAATAATCAAAACAGATATAAAAAAGATAAACACATTAAGATATTCATAATCCATTCTTATTTTAAATCGTCTTAAATAATGTCTTAATACAGTTCTGTGATTAGCTTATGACATCTAAAGAACTATTTAAGACGGTCTTTAAATATAATAACCAGCTTAGAATACCGGTCTTTTTTGTAAAGCATATTATTTCCTTATTCGATGTTTTAAGTCTTTTAGGTTACTGGTGTCTTCATTATCTTTCTTTAAAGTCTTTTATCACACAATAGATTTACAAATTTGGAAATACCGATACGATCTATTAGCATAAAACAGCAATAGCTAAGTCTAATAGCATTTTAACAATTAATTAGATAAATTCCGTGTGACAACAATGTTTGAACAGAATCTTCTATCGAACCTTATTCATTACAAAACTGTAGTTTTCACTTTCACTTTTACTTGTTACTAACTGCAAGTCTAATATCTAAAATGTAAATCAACTTTAGTGGAATGCATAATGAGTTCGAGTGGAATAATGACTAGCTCTTAAGTGAATATTAAACTTGTTTAAATGTAAATATTTCGCCATAACATGATGTATTTGAGATTAACATGTATAGAGATAAAAAAAGAAATGCACTATATGTAAGTTTAGAAACATTAATATATTATTAATCTTTTTTCTTTATTTTGTGTACATTAAATATATTTCAGCGAAAATTACTCTATTTCATTTTGTTAATACATTGTGTTTTTAGAAATATTACGTCTCATAAATTTTTGCTACATATTTATCCAAATTAATTTTAGATTCTTTTTCAAACTTTTATCTCTGTATTGAATAAAAAATTTATATTAATAAAACTATTAAACATATCATTAAATAAATTAACGATGTAAATAAAATTATTATACAAATACAAAATTTGAAGAGTTTGTATATGCAACAAGATTGGTATGTGACATAGAAATAACAATGGCTGCATAGATGTAACGACCTTTAGCTGTAGCAAGGTAAACCTGAATTGCACGATAAAATTTATGATCACGATAGAAAAGGAAGTGGGTGGTTAGACGGAGAGAAAGAGAGAGAGAGAGAGAGAGAGAGAGAGATATAAAAGTGAAAGGATACAACCTTGCGTTTGCAACTACTTTGTTGTTGTGTTGTTTGTATATACATTTCATCACACTTAACTGTTCTGTCTATTTTAGATTCTGTGGAATGGAAATAAATGCGTCGCGGGCGTATAACGCGAACATATGAATTGTTCAAATCTCGATAATGGATAGTGTGTAAATCCTAGATAGAGACAATATCGAGTCTTTTTCATTCCCTCTGAATACTGGATATTTTTATTGCTTGGAAGCTTTGAATCAACTATCTAAAAATACATCTTGTTACATAAGTTTCCTTTTATAAAATTACGAACTGCTATTTTTTTCCAATATAACGCTGATGCAATTAATTCGAATCTCCATCGGATTGTTACGAAGGTATATAATTATATTTCGATGTTACTACATTTGACGTCAGGAGCTAAAAATTCAATGAAAGTAATCTAAATTTAAAATGCAGACGGAAGTTATGTATAGCCGTTTCTCCGCTTTAAATAGCTTTACCTGAATACGCCAGCTTATGAAACTTTATGCGAATCTATTAACTAATAATTTCTGGATGTTAAAGTTAGTGTCTGATTATATTTATTACATATTCATGTTTGAATTGCTACAACAAAGAATGCACTTAACATAAATTTCTTACGGTGCAAAGAAATGTTAATCGATAAACTCCACGATAAATCATTAATGATAAATCATTAACAATATAATATCTTATTTCGTATCTTAGAATCGTATATATGATACAATATATTATAGAAATCAATGCTTTAAACGATTTAGCTGGTTAAATATTATGATTCTGTGTAAATTTTTATACTACGTATGTAGTTCTTTAAAATGCGCGCAGAAATGATTTTTGATAAATTATTAATTCCACGCTTCAGCGAATGGCATATCCAAGTTGAAGTGCATCTCGAGGCGAAGAGGATATTGCGAATATGTACACTAGGATTTTCTATTATACCTGACAAAATCAGCTTACCTGGTAAGGCTCCAGTATGCGACGTAGTTCTCCCGACTCGTTAAGTCGCTCGACTGTGTCAACACCCTGCAACAAGGAAAAACATTATGAAATGCAGGCATTTAATAGTATATTTAAACTATTCAAGTTGTTCAACGCTTTCTTTCCGCCTCGTTCATTTCATCATTAACTAACGATTATGCCGTAAACAGAAATTCTCCGGCATGTCGCATGCACAAGACTTTCTGTCAAATGGATGGAACTCGCGACAGACGTTTCAAGAGTTTCAAGACATGGCGATGTAACATTCTTGGCTTGTCGTCAAGGAATGCGACTGTAACGAAAAAATTTTATCGTATTTCTTCTCTCGGCTTTTCTCACGTATATATAGTGTAATTCTATGCGTATCCATGCGATAATGGTCGTATTATACATTTTGCCGCTGTTAATGAGGCTTTTAATGAAGCATGCGATAACTAGTTTGTAGGTTTGACGCACCACTGATTTATTTACAGGAAGAAAATTTTGCTCTCTTGTCTTGGAAGATTATCTTTCAAACATAATTGAACATTTTAGAGATGATTAATTGTATCACTAAGTATTTTAATGAAAAGTTTTCAGATTGATACACGGAAAAAACGATTTTGCTGAACATCTAAAAATTTAGGTCAATACAAATCTAAAAATAATTTTATTGGATTATCAAATTAATTATGTAGGAAACATAAGCATAATAAAACAATGCTACACTGAACAAAAAAGATTGGCTGCTGCAGCAAATTAGATGGTAAAATATGATATATTTTTAATTTGTAGCAGCAGCCAAATTTTTGTTGCTTATCGAAATCCTATACTGACATTGCAAATAGGCTAACGCAATCAAATATTGGCTACTGCAAACCAAAAATTAGCCGCTGCAGCCAATTAAAAAAAAAATGCTGTACCATGTATCATCTAATTTATTGCAGCAGCTAATGTTTTCTTTCAATGTACAATTTTCATATTCGAGTAATCAACTTGAGTGTCTACATTTACTTATTTTGATGGTAAAAAAATTATTTTTAGAACTAGTTCAATTTTTAAATATTGTGACTCTTTTTGTGTAAAAAAAAACATTGAACTATTTAAAAATTTGAATAGATACAGATCTATAAAATAATTTTATTAAACTATCAAAGTAATACACAAGTAATTATAGAAGGTTCAAGCATAATAAAGAATGCTGTAAACAATTTTTATTATTTTAGTAATCAATTTGAGCGATTTCTCATTTTGATTTCTTATCAAAATGGAAAACTTACTAAATTTAATAGAATAATAAAAACAAAATTATTTTTAAATCTGTATATCTAAATTTTTAGCTATATTAGCAAAATCGTTCTTTTCATATAGAATGTACGACGCGCTTGTGAATGCGAGTGAAGCGACATTTCGAAGATGCTCGTTCGTCAGTACTCATCTTGTAATCTCGTGTCTGATGTAATGTAATAGAGGTTTTATTGCGGTTGTAGTTGCAACAATATACTCCTTTCACTACATATCGTGTAAACTGTCAAAAGATGTCATACGAAGATGGACAATAGTGAAAGCGAGATAACATATTCAAATTGATGACAAATGGAAACGAAATAAACATATCGAAGATACTTCTTTGATTTTCGGCACCAGTGGATTATTTCGTGCGAGATAATTGTATGACGCGATCGGATAGGAATGCAGTTCGGGTAGCTTTATATATGTACACTTGCTAGCACCAGCAACCATAAAGTGGTGTAACAGGCAATCGCACCTCGCATTCTCTCCGACGGCCTTGGATCAAATAGTTTGACATTTTACTTACGCATATATCTATTCGATCGGTTGCTGGAAGTAATTCTTGAGAAACGGATACCATACGGAGGCAGAGAGGGAAAATCAAATAACATGATTGTGAATGAGAGAGACTCTAGCAGGTAATGGTTACTCTAAAGATACTCTAAAGGTGTGTCGTTTATATCCAGTTTTTTTTTTTTAAAGACTGATACGTTTGTTTTCGAGAAAAATTCTTGAAAAAGGAAGTTTATGTGAAAGCTCTTAAAAAGTCAAATACACAGATTTTGCTGAAGTATCTAAAAATTTAGCATACAGATATGAAAGTAATTCTATTGGATTATCAGAATAATTATGTAAGATACTCAAACTGGAATGTTAAAACTTTTCATAATAATGTTTTTCAGGCTTCAGATTCTTACGTAATTATTTTGATAGGTTAAAATAGTATTTTCGAATCTGTATCTAATTAGATTTTTAAATCCAAATTATTCTTTTTGTGTATATGCCATTTATTTAAAAATTTTGAGATATATATTTTTATAATATTACAACTAAGAATATCGTTCAATAAATTTTTTTATTCTCTCTGTTTAAATCTCTTGTTTACTCATCATTGTCATCTCAGATTGTAACGTCGGATGTGAAAAAATACAATAAAAATTCTTGCAAAATATTATTGACAGTATAATATGGAAATATGTTTCAATAAAATAACATATGATCGATTTGTAAAATGTACCAAAAGCTGCTCCTTTGTTTTATTAATTAATAAATAACAAAAATGTATCTGAAAATGAATTATATATATATAATAAAAAATAAAATAAACTCTACTTAGTTATAATAAACTGTCAAATTAATATTAATTTATAATATATAGAAATAAATATGATTTAATTTCTCTCTGAAATAAGAACATATAATTTTCAATATATTTTATAAGTTTATTCTATTGATTGCAAATTATTCTATTGAAAAATATTTCTATTCAAATAAAAAAATTTGCAAAAATTTTTCTTATGTGTTTTGTTTCTTCTGATGTTACAATTTGAAATAGTAGTGGTGAGGAAACAAAAGCCTTAATTTTTTATATTGAACAATTCACAGGTTCAAATTTTTGTTACAAAAACAGATTCTCTTGTGCACTAGAATAGAATTCTATTCTATTCTACACAGCGCATCCGCATTGAAAATATGAGCAATAAACATTTTTATCATATATGGGATAAGCATAATTTTATAGAAGTTGACATCATCACCTTGGGAACAGCGCGTGAATATAACTGAAGTTCATGATTATGAAGATTTTTACCATGTCACAATAATAAAAGCGGCATGCTCTTTTATGAAGATATAAAGACATTTCGTACCGCACATGATGATACGAACTTGTACTATCACCATTATGTATGAGAGCAATTATTATTATATTCAATGGGAACACACATACAACGATCGTTTACTGTGACCATTCCCAAGTAATATTCCACTGTAACATTTAAATGACCACTGCGGTAATGATTGTCGCTAATTCCTAATAACTCATTATTGATTAGATAATTTCTCTATTATGACTTGATATCTAATTAGATGGATAACATTGCAAATTGTAATCTAGTTGTACAAAATGTATTTCATTTTAAAATAAATATTTATTAAAATCAAAAGAATTGGTAATTAATATAAAAAATTATGTATATTAAAACTTGTATTTTTCATTGTATTTTAAGAAAGCAATGCATTATATAAGGAATTCATTATTTTGTTTCATATATTAAATTCATATGTTAATATGAATATCTTGTTGTCGTTTCTAGATTGTCTATTTTATTTTCCTATATGTTTCAATGACAATTTTACAAGAGATGCAACGTAAGATCTGTGAAACACGATCCTACATCTGAGAATTGCTGAAACAGAATACTTTGCTATCTTCGCTATCGCATTTTGTCATTATATATACGAGAATACAGTTCCAAAGACAATATCCTATTGGATTTCTTTAAAATAAAATATTTCAATTACTCTTTTTCAATCATTATATTATCATTTAATAACTATAAATTTGCATTCTACATGTTTTACTTAATCAATTATAAAAATAATCATTTCTATTATACAACAAATTTAAGCCCTTTATTGACTCATTTTTTCACTTTGTACCTACAGAACAGATGCAATTTGATATAAAATTTTCGTTTATACATTCATTGAATTTTCACTCGACAGTTATCTTTGACATTTCACGTCATCCATCTTTTAGCCTCCTCGAATATCTCTAGTTGCATAACGCGTTATCGGCCTTGTACAAATTCTTCATAAAGCGTAAGAGGATGGATTCGAAAGGATCAGAGTACTCGAATGCTAGTGTGTGCGCAATATAACTTTTCTTATAGAAGTTATTCTACTTGTGAAACGATTGAGAGAGAGAGAGAGAGAGAGAGAGAGAGAGAGAGAGAGAGAGAGAGACCGATATTGCTATGAAGAAGAAAACAACTTGGTTGACGAATGTCAAACACAGATGACGGAACATTCAACGCCAACTGCTCACGTTTTATTATATAAAGTTTTGTATAAAGCGAGTTTACATTCCAAATATATTTTAAAATAACTACAGAACATAATTTCTGATTTAAACCATGCATATTATAAATGGGAATACAGTAAATAATAAATTTATGCTGATATAATGCACATTAATGTCCAAATTATAATTCATAAAAGTAATAATATTAAGTGAAAATGGACTGAGAAATGTTTAATAAAAATGAATAAAGAGACCCATACATTACATTAAATATAAATACAAGTATTAATTATAAAAAAACGTTTCCAAAACTACGAACGAACATACTTTATGCAATAAATTCATTAAATTATTTATTAATTTTCAATAATATTTTTCCGTATTTAATTCCAACTTTGATCAACATTCTTTTAATTAATAAATATAATTAAAGTCAATTTCTAGTCTTTATTTCTAATTTTATTGAATTGTTATTTAAATTATGTTTTAATTATTTTTAATTAATATTTTTATTAAAACATGTATTTGATTATATGTCAAAACTTTTTTTTAATCAATATTTCATTCTCATTTTTTATAATTCTTTCAAAAAGTTTAAGTTAATGCATACATACCCCAATGTATTGACCATCGACGAAAAGTTGTGGCAATGTTACGACTTCCGAATTGGTCCGATCCCTGAGTTCGGTCTGTAATTCCGTATCGCGGAATAAATCTGCTTCGTCATACTTGACCATGTTTGTCCATAACATCTGCTTCATCTTCATACAATTGGTAAAGGTCTCTCTAACGATGCCCAATGATGTCGTGTAAAGTACTACTCTACCCTTTTCTCTTTCCACGTAAGCCTGAAATAGGATGTAATACCTTGTCAAGTCTTGTAATAAGATTCTAAATAATTCTTAGATTAAATTAAATATTAAAATTCCATTTCGCACATATTAAAATCTTTACAACAGTAAAATACTTCTATAGCCTCACATATGGCGTACTTCAGTACATAATATTATATAATTATTGTAATGTATGTTTCTTCGTATAGAGTAGCTATAAAACGCTATAAAACGCATATCGTAAAAATAATCAAATACTGATTTTATGTCTTATCAATTTCCAAAAGACAATTGAGTTTTTCTTATAAATTATAAATTATAAATTTATTTGTCTAAGAGTCCAAACTATCGAACCGAGCCTGCGTCCACATTCAAAGATTTGATATGAATCTATATTCATTTCGATCATGTGGATATGTAGAATCTCGGTAGAATCTTTGGTCGGTAGTCTGAAGGCATCCTTTCATAAGACTTCTGGAGATCAATTGTGTATCTTGAAACAAAATTTAAAAGAAAGCAAATCCATTAGATATTGATTTAAAAAATTATAAATATTTTCTAGAATAAATCAATTAACTTATTTATATTTTAGGATAAATATAATTATAAATATCTTCTAGAGAATTTTTTCTCATTTTTGTAATTTTCATTTTAAGACTTGCAATCAACGTTTTGGTTAGAAATGGCAATGGAAGTAAAAAAATACATAATAAAAATTCTTATAATATATTAAAATAAAATCATTTTTCAATAAAACAATATTTGCAATCGATAGGGTCTTATAAAAATGCAAAAAATTCTTTTTTTTTGTTTCCAGAGAGAAAAAATTATATTTATTTCTATATGCTATTAGTTTGATAATTGTTACTTGTTTGATAGCTGTGAACTTATTTAGTTTTTCACGATTCAATTACTAAATACATCTGGTTATTTACTGATGAAATAAAAGATTTATTTAAAAAAAAAATAAAGGAAAAATTTTGATACGTTCTGCAAGTCTATTGTATTGATTATAAATGTTATTTTATTATATCGTTTTTCGCTTCTAACGTCACACTCTGAAATAATAGTGATGAGTGATCAAAGCTCTTAATAATCAAGTTTCACATCATGTTCATATCTTTATGGACTAATAAACAGGATACTTTCTAAAAGCGTTATTTGTTATGGTTAATGACTTCATGAACTTTTATTTCTTTATTTTCCTATCTGCAAAACACGATAATATTTAATAAATATTATCGTGTTTTGCAAATAGATATTTACTTTAGTTACCTATAAGTATCTGTAAGTGTACCTATAACATTATACACGTTGATTCTGCAGTGATATTATACTCAAAGAATAATAATAACATTGATGAATTAATAAAAATACCAAAACTAACGATAAACGTGAGGTTTTAACGTTTCCTTTTATTTATCGGTGATCGAGTCTTGAATAAGCACGGATGACAATTTTTATATGGAAGAGAGACCTCTTTATGGTTCGGCGATTCAATCACAAGTCATTCGAACTTCGATTCTTGCTCAGTAATGCGTGCATTTATTGGCCGTTTCTTTACAATCGATTTCGTTGGCACGTGCAACAAGCATTAGCTTTCACCGGCAAGTATGCTTGATAGTTTTGCAAGAAAAATAACTGCTTTATTATTTTCTGTATTATTTATTATTATATTTTTTGTAATATGGCATCATCATATTATTATATTGCTGTTACAAAAAATATATATTATATATGTTAGAATTTCATTCATATAAATTGCATTTTCGCAACAAAATGATCTAATTCATCATTTACGTAAAAAAAAAATGTCACGTTTCGTTATGACATAATGTCGTATAAAATTTCGCATACCAGAGATGAATGCAATCTCTGTAATAATCTAGCTGTCTTTTGAATTGCTTGTGTCTTGAGCGCGTGTGTATAATACTTAATATACTCTTCCAACTAAATTATGTAATGTCGTTTAGGTAGTCCTCGAAGATAGAAAAGGAGACAGCTGTAAGTAGCAGGCGAGACAGAGAAAGAGGAAGGGAGGGAATGATTGTGTTAAATTAGCTTTCACTGCACAAAAGTGACAAGGTAATTCAGTGTCGCGCATAATGCCGACAACGATTCTTCATCTATAAAGCATTTTACGTAATTGCCATTCTCGGTATTTATGTATACACATAACGTACTGTTAGTAAAATCGCAGATATGATAATATTCACTTACAAGGAAACCTTGCAAAGTATCAAATTCTGATTTTAATGGAACTTTCTATATAGATTACATAAATAAATAAATTTAGAAAATATCAATTAGTGCGGAAAAACGGAGATAAAAGAGATTTCAAGAGATAAAATCATCCTCCTAAATAAAACAGTTTTTAGCTTCTTTTCATTACATTTTAAAAACTATTTAAGATATCAATAAATATTTATAAAAAAATTTTATAATAAAATTTGTTTATCTCCACGTCAATAATATTTTTAAAAATTAATTATTTTATTTTCGAAATTTATATTTTCTAAATTAATTTTTGAAAATATTATTGACAAGGAAATAATTTTATTACAAAACTTTCGTATACATTTTTCATATCTTAAATAGTTTTTGAGATATATAACGAAACATAAAAATCGCTTTCTTATAATTATATTTCAGTCTTAAAATCGTTTTCCACATCAACTAATATTTTTTTAAATTTATTTATTTACATAACTTGTATATATAAAAAGTTTTATTAAAATTTGGTTTGCAAAATTTCTTTATCTATTATAGTATCTATTATATAATATCTCTCATATTATTCAAAATCGATAGGCTTCTTGCGTCCTTTATGACTTTATTGGTTACTTGGTTACAAACTTATATGGTTACATAAAATAAATTATAGTATATAAAAAAATTATTATCTGTCTTTATTAATATTATCTTTCTCATAAAAACTCTAGACTATTATTTATTGCACTTAAATTATTGTACTTGCGTACCGAATAAAATATATATATTCATATCATTTAAATTGTTTGAAGAATATTGGTTATCGCAGTATGAATTTGTTCTTTTTACAACGCAAACCTTTAAAACCTTTTACATTTATTTATTGGAAATCTCACATGAGAGCAAGCGAAATGTCATTATATATTTTCAAATTGACAGAATATCTTTTATATAGGGAGTTTAACATGAAAACATCAATGCGATCGTGAATTTAATGTATTAAATTTATTAAATCTGTAGTAGTTTGTAACATTCGTTGAGATTGATATAATTTTTGCTGCGGTACGGCCATTTCATGCGCATATAGAGCAATCGCGTCCGATCAGCATTATAGATCACCACGTGCTCACTCGACACGACTGCTAATGAACGTATTTCAACGGGGAAACCGGACTTGTCGTACCAGGTGCGTGATCTGCACCATAAAAGCATATTGTAGAAGTGTGCACGGAAAAGATCTCAGCTAACCATTACTAATTTTTTGCTAACCTACTTGTTCCTACCGATACCCGTTATCCTACGCAAATGACACGTATAGTAATTGCCTTCAATCATAATTGCATATCGTCTTGAAGGAGGCAGAACCAATACGGTCACGTACACGCGAGCCAGATGGCCTAACAAAGTATCGAGCTTCGCATCATAAGCTATTATAAACTATACTGGAGAACAAATTTTTGCGCATTCTTTGTACATTCCGAAAATTAAATTAAAGCTGTAATTAGAATTTATCACCACTCAAAAAAATTCAAATCTAATCAATTTTTGAATTGTTACATTAATATCAGAAAAAGTTATTTTTATATTATTATAACAGAAAGTTTTTTCTTCTTTATGCTTTCATGATTTATTACATAATTCTTTGCGTCGATTAAAATTAATACTGTTTTACAAAGCAAGGA